CTCTTGGGTGCAAGTAATTTTCCTGCCTCAGGCTCCTGAGTAGCTGGGATTACAGGTGCCTGTCACCACACCTGGCTAATTTGTGTATTTTTAGTAGAGATGGGGTTTTACCATGTTGGCCAACCTGGTCTTGAACTCTTGACCTCAGTTGAGCAGCCTGTCTTGCCTTCCCAAAGTGTTGGGATTACAGGTGTGGGCTACTGTGCTCGGCCCCACTTCCTTTTCTTTTTCTGAGACGAAGTCACAGTGCCGGCCCCTACTTCCTTTCTTTTTTTTCTGAGATGGAGTCTTGCTTTGTTGCCACAGGCTGGAGTGCAGTGGTGCAATCTTGGCTCACAGCAGCCTCCACCTCCTGGGTTCAAGTGATTCTCCTGCCTCAGCCTCCTGAGTAGCTTGGATTATAGGCGGCCACCACCATGCTTATTTTTTTCGAGATGGAGTCTTGCTCTGTCACCAAAGCTGAAGTGCAGTGGTGTGATCTTGCCTCACTGCAACCTCTGACTCCTGGGTTCAAGTGATTTTCCTGTCTCAGCCTCCCAAGTAGCTGGGATTACAGGTGACTGCCACCACACCTGGTTAATTTTTGTATTTATAGTAGAGACAGGATTTCACCCTAACCCTAACCATGTTTGCCAGGCTGGTCTCAAACTCCTGACCTCAGGTGATCCTCCTTACTTGGCCTCCCAAAGTGCTGGGATTACAAGCATGAGCCACTGCACCTGGCCTCTACTTCCTTTCTTAAGTCATTCAGCAAATTATTATAAAGCCCTTCTGATATCTTGGGCTCTGTGATGGATGTGGAGCCATAGTGCCAAACAAGAATAGCAAGGAGGTTTTATCCACTAGGCACTTTGCGGAATCCTGCAAAAATATTTGAGACCTGAAAATAATTAATGGGCCTCAAAATGAAACAAATTGTAAAATTGAAATTGTATTACTTTTCAATTAAATGTAATGTGAAGGATGTTAAAATTTGTCATAATTGTTAGTTCTCCTCTTTTTAGTAGTTCCATTTGTGAATATACCCTAGGAAGTAATCCTTGACCCGAAGAGGTAATTTATGTAATTATAAAGGTGGTCATCTTGTGGAGTAGAAATAATCGAAGGCAAACATATGGACAATAGGAATGTGTCTATATGCTGTTATTAAATTTAGATTATAGAGTCATCTGTGTGGTATAATCACAAGGGCAATGCTTCTCTTCCCCTAATCATTTCCAGTGTGGTATAGACTTTTTAATACTCTCTTCTATGGTTATAAAAATGATTTTTATTTTATTTTTTAGACAGAATCTCACTTTATCACCTAGAACGGAGTACAGTGATGTGATCATGGCTCTCTGCTGTCTCAACTTCCGGGACTCAAGTGATCTTCCCACCTTAGCCTTTCTAGTAGCAGGGACTACAAGTGTGTGCTACCTACCAGGCCTGGCTTATCTTTTTTGTTGTTGTTGTTTTTTGAGATGGAGTCTTGCTCTGTTGCTGAGGCTGGAGTGCAGTGGCTCAGTCTTGGCTCACTGCAACCTCTGCCTCTTGGGTTTAAGCGATTATCCTGTCTAAGCCTCCTGAGCTGCAGGGATTACAGGTGCCACCACGCCCGACTCATTTTTGTCTTTTTAGTAGAGACAGGATTTCACCATGTGGGCCAGGCTGGTCTTGAACTCCTGACCCAAGTGATCTGCCCATCTCGACCTCTCAAAGTGCTAGGATTACAAAAATGAGCCACTGTACCTGCCCCTATTTCTCTTTTTTAGTGGAGAGAGGTTCTCACTATGTTGCCTAGCCTGATCTCAAATTTATGGGCTCAAGCAATCCTCCCACCTTTGCTTTTGCCTCTGCCTCTGAAAGTGCTGGGATTACAGGTGTGAGCCACCAGGTCTGGCCATAAAAATGATTTGTAAAAGCATTAATAGGAATACCATTCTTTTCCTTGCCTTTTTTCCTGACATTTGCATTGTAGACATTCTTTCATGCCAGTAGATAGAAATCTACCTCTGTACCAGATGTGTTCTTTGGTGTCAGTGAACCTTTTCTCCCATTTATAACTGATTAGTATGTCCTTAACTTTTTGATTTTATAAATATTGCCACAATATATATGTTTTTACATATGTACAGGGGTACATATATTCCTGTTTACTGAAATGGATTTGTACATTTAAAATTATGTGGTAGAAGTTGGCCCCGAAGAAGGTCATTGTGTCTATAATATTGTCTTTGCAATTTGGAAGCTTTGAGACTAGAAGTGTTCTATGCATCCGTATTCAAGTGGCAGTCTGACATGAGTCTATTTGTTGGCAAAGCTTGATCTGAACTCCTGTTACGTGAAACCTTTATTATCTCTAGAGCGCTAATGTTTCTTCTTACTGCAGAAATATTAATGTGGTTGATTATGAGGTGTCCCAGATCCCACTGAGCATATAAATAGTATTAGTATATTATTAGTATATCACCTTTTTGTAAGTATTATTAGTATGATTATATTGACCCTTTTTAAAATGAGAAAAACAAGTTCAACATATTTGGCTTTATTGGATCTTCCCATCCCCACCCACCCTAATGAATGTGAAGTATTTTCTTCATAGTAGAATGTGTGGAATGTGTTAACATTCAGGAAGTGAATTAACTAATTTACTTGAAGATTTTTTTTAAGGATTGTAATAAGAGTTATATTTTAGAGAGCATGACAACACTCTTAAAATAGTGCAGATTTTGCTTGAAATCTCTTAGGAACATTTTTGTTCATGTAGTCTGACATGAAGTCCTTAATTTTTTTCTGTGATGGTAGAAGAAATCACCATATGTTTTAGTTAGCGGACTCACATTTAGGGGGAGTGTTGTGCAACACACAAGAACAAAGTATCCTGAAATTTGAGAATTTGCAATTCCGAATGTAGAAAAAGTACATTATAAGAGTGATCTGGAAAACGACACCTAATAAAGGGGCATTAGCTTTATGTAGCCTTCACTATTTAAATTACTATTACAGTTTTATTGGTAGAGGGTGTACACGTTGAGTATCCGTTATGGGAAGTGTTTAAGACCAGAAGAAGTAATTTGGATATTTTCACATTTCCAGTATTTGTATTATGTTTACCAGGTGAGCATCTGAAATCTGAAATACTCTGATGAGCTTTTTTTTTTTTTAAAAACATCATGTTGGCTGTCAGGAAGTTCCAGGCAGGGTGTGGTGGCTCAATCATGCCTGTAATCCCAACACTGTGGGAGGTTGAGGCTGGCAGACTGCTTGAGCCCAGGAGTTTAAGACCAGCCTGGGCAACATGGCAAGACCCTGTCTCTACAAAAGTACAGAAAATTAGCTGGGCATAGTGGTGTGTGCTTGTAGTCCCAGCTGCTAGAGAGGCTAAGGTTAGAGGATTGCTAGAGCCTGGGCGGTCACGGCTGCAATGAGCCAAGCTGAGATTGGAACACTGCACTCCAGCGTGGATGACAGAGTAAGACCCTCTCTCAAAAAAAAAATTCAGATTTTGGAGCATTTCAGATTTAGAAAGATTCAAAAATGCTTTCAGATTTTTGGATTAGGGAAACTCAACCGGTGTATATTTGAATTTGCATTGGTTTAAATGCCAATATAATGTGTGTGTGTTACTTAAGTATTACTGTATAGGTTTTTTTCCCCTTACCCATTTATAACTTAATTGCTGATTTAATTGTAATTCTGCTATATGTAGGTAGTGATTTTTCTTTGAACAGACCTGTAGTGCAGGATTCGGCAAACTTTTTCTGGAACTAGATATTAAATATTTCAGGCTTTGCAGGTTACATTGTTTCTGTCTCAACTCCTCACTGCTAACCATAGACAGTAATATAAATGATTATGCTATAAAACTTATTTCTAAAAACAGATTGTGGGCCGACACCTGCTTCAGGGGATTTCTTTTAGTGGGTTGATGAAAATGGGGGAGAGAGGAGTTGGTAGGGCTTCCTTTTGCAAATGGGATTTTTGTTTAGGCATTGTGGTTTTTTGAGGTGGCTGATCTCTAGGTATGTTTAGAGTGCTTTAAGAACCGTGCAACGCCAGCAGTAGATCATTAGATTTCACACTTTTTCCTTTTTTTTTTTTTTTGAGACAGGGTCTCACTGTTGCCCGGGTTGGAGTGTAGTGGCATGATCTCGGCTCACTGCAACCTCTGCCTCCTGAGTTCAAGCTATTCTTGTGCCTCAGCCTCTCAAGTAGCTGGGATTATAAAACACCTGGCTAAGTTTTGTATTTTTAGTAGAGATATGGGGTTTCACCATGTTGGCCAGGTTGGTCTTGAATTCCTGAACTCAGGTGATCTGCCCACCTTGACCTCCCAAAGTGCTAGGATTAAAGGTGTAAGCCACCATGGCTAGCTGAGTCTTTTTTCTTTTTATTTATTTATTTTTATGATGGAATATTGCTCTGTTGCCCAGGCTGGAGTACAGTGGCGCCATCTCGGCTCACTGCAGCCTCTGCTCCCTGGGTTCAAGCAATTCTCCTGTCTCAGCCTCCTGAGGAGCTGAGACTACAGGTCTGCCACCATGCCCAGCTAATTTTTTGTGTCTTTAGTAGAGATGGGGTTTCACCACATTGGGCAGGCTAGTCTTGAACTCCTGACCTCATGATCCAGCCACCCTGGCCTCTCAGAGTGCTGGGATTACAGGCGTGAGCCACCGCTCTTGGCTGACTTTTTCCTTTTTATAGTAAGAGAGTACATGTTTGAGCTTTTTAAAAAATATAAGCAGTTTTTAAAATATAAGCAAATAACTGTCCTAGTTATGATTTTACTTTGTTTTTCTGGTTTATCTTAGCTAAGTTACTTTATTTCTTTGGCTTATTTGCTTTATTAAAGGCTTGGAGCAACATAGAAGGAAGGTAAATTTAGGATGCCATGGCCAATCATTATTACAGCTTTGGCATAATGTGATTGCATAAATGCTTCTATTTTACATGAAATAAAATGTCCAATGGCAGCTCATGTGTCATGGTGCTGAAATTTTTATTTAAAAAATTTTCAGACATGAAGAGGAGCATCGGCGGCGTGAGGAAGAAATGATCCGACACAGAGAACAGGAGGAACTGAGGCGACAGCAAGAGGGCTTTAAGCCAAACTACATGGAAAATGTAAGTAAACTACTAGTTAACTAAAATGATTTTATATTTTTAGGTTTATGATGTATATTTAGAATTCTTTAGATTTTGGTTTATACAGTAATCTCTTTTCTAATCTTTCTAAATTTATCATGTTTGATAAATTAGTGATTTTTTTTTAACCTCTTATGGGTGGTAAAGTAAAATTAGTTTCTGAAGATAATATTTATGTTTTATGAAATGGATGTTATATTTGTTCTATTATTTTAGTTGATCTTTAAAAATACATGCTATTAAATTAGAAATCTTGACATATACATTATTTCCACTTGACCGAATGTCACCATATATTATTATCAAAACATCTTTATTTTGGAAGATTCAGACATGTACAAAAGGATTCTAGTGTGTGCTCATCATCCAGCCATAACACTTTTCATCTTTAAGTATAACCACTTTATTTCTCAATTTATTTTATTTGAAATACCTGACTTCATATAATTTTATTATTTTTAATATGTATCTCTAGAAGATGAGGACTCCTTTGAAATATCTTTTATTATATCTTAAAAATGGTCAGTTTTTTAATTTAACTAATGAAAGCCCAGATTTGCACAGGTCTTAAATTTTTTTTTTTTTCTTTTACATTTGGTTTATTTGAATTGGTTGATATATCCAGGCTCTTTTAGTCTATAGGTTTCCTCTTCCTGTCTTTAATTTTTTACTTCACAATTTTCTTCTCTGTTTTTTCTTTTTTGAGACAGAATCTTGCTCGTCTTGCAGGCTGGAGTGCAGTGGCGTGATCTTGGCTCACTGCAACCTCTGCCTCCCAGGTTCAAGCAATTCTCCTGTCTCAGCCTCCTGAGTAGCTGGGATTACAGGTCCCCGCCACCATGCCCTGCTAATTGCTGTACTTTTAGTAGAGATGGGGTTTCACCATGTTGGCCAGGCTGATCTCAAACTCCTGACCTGAAGTGATCCACTCGCCTCAGCCTCCCAAAGTGCTTGGATTATGGGCATGAGCCACCATGCTTGGCCCATTTAAGCCAAAAAGAAAAAGAAAAAAGAAAGAAACAAAACCCAGAATGATATCTGTGTCCTGGATTTTGCTGATTACATTCTTGCAGTGATGTTTAACATGTTCCTCTATACCTGAATTTCCTGCAGACTGGCACTAGCTCAGAAGACTTGGTCTGATCCAGGTTTTTGTTTTGGGGGTAGGGTGGCGGGGCACACAAGGCTAGTTCAAATGTTAACATTTATTTTATTTTTTTCTGTTTTGAGACTTGAGTCTCGCTCTGTCACCAGGCAGGAGTGCAGTGGTGTAATCTTGGCTCACTGCAACCTCAGCCTCCTGGGTTCAAGTGATTCTCCTGCCTCAGTTTCCCAAGTGGCTGGGACTATAGGCATGCACCACTATGCTCAGCTAATTTTTGTATTTTTAGTAGAGATGGGTTTTCACCATGTTGGTCAGGATGGTCTTGATATCTTGACCTCATGATCTGCCTGCCTCAGCCTCCCGAAGTGCTGGGATTATAGGCCTGAACCACCGTGCCCAGTTTAAACATTTATTTATTTTATTTTTTTGAGAGAGTCTCGCTCTGTCATCCAGGCTGGAGTGTAGTGGTGCAGTCTTGGCTCACTGCAACCCCGGGGTCAAGTGATTCTTCTGCCTCAGCCTCCTGAGTAGCTGGGATTTTAGATAAGCACCACTATGCCTGGCTAACTTTTGTATTTTTTAGCAGAGACAGGGTTTCACCATGTTGCCAGGCTGGTATTGAACTCCTGACCTCAGGTGATCTGTCCACCTTGGCCTCCCAAAGTGCTGGGATTACAGGCGTGACAGCAGACAGTTTCAACTTTACTTTCCTGTCTTAAATATTTGGAAACATTTTTATAATTTAAAATTGAATTACTAAAAATTTTTTCTTTAAAACATTTTTGCGTTTAAAATTTATTTTAATGGTGGGCAAAATGATACAAATATCTAATGAACTTTGAGAAAAAATGAATTAGAAATTTAAACATACTAATTGAGTTTATCAACACTTCTTTTTTCTTTTTTTTTTTTTGAGACAGTTTTGCTTTTGTTGTCCAGGCTGGAGTGCAATGGCATGATGTCCACTCATTGCAACCTCCGCCTCCTGGGTTCAAGCGATTCTCCTACCTCAGCCTCCTGAGTAGCTGGGATTACACGTGTCTGCCACCACGCCCAGCTAGTTTTGTATTTTTAGTAGAGATGGGATTTCATTATGTTTGCCAGGCTGCTCTTGAACTCCTGACCTTGTGATCTATCCACTTCTGTCTCCCAAAGTGCTGGGATTACAGGCATGAGCCACTGTGCCCGGCCAACATTTCTGAAATAGATCATTTGTTGTTTTACAAGATTATGCTCATAGAAAAGGATTCGTGAAAATATACCTTCTTTTCTAGTAGTTTCTTAAAGTGTGTATTGCATACTTGAAGCATCATGATAAAATTAATTTGCCTAGAGTGTAAGTTGACAAGCTATATTCTGGGACCACTGCCTGTTTTTTCATTACTCCACCACAGATATATTGATGGTGTTTATGTTTTTAAAGGGTTATTGCAAAAAAAGGAGAATATTAGAAATGATTTGTGACCCATAATAACTTAAAATATTTGCTTTCTTATGTGTTCATAGAGTCTGTGGAAACCTGGGCTGAAATATTTGTGATTTTTCTTTTTTGTTTTAATTTTAAAATTAGTATTTATGGTAGTTCAGGTTACTATGCTTTTAACCTTTGGATTATCCATATTTCAAATAGTATGTAAATGAGGTATGATAATTGTATAACAATGACTAGTGTTAGCTTTTTTTGTGATTAGAAATTGTATGAATCGGCACAAGATTTTTATTACTTTGGTGTCAGTTTTATTTGGTTCCAAGCTTCACAATGCTTCTTGTTACTATAAACTTACCAAGCACTAAAAGCAATATGAATGAAAGCTCTACCTGTCTCAAATATTTTGTGTTAATGAGAATATATTAATAGGAAGACATTATGTTAAGAATGCATTGAGGCCTATCAGTTATTCTTTATTTACTTTGAAAACTGTCTTTGGAGAAAATTGTTAAACAATTTTAATGCTGTGTGTGTATGTGTATTTTCTTTAAGCTTTGCAATTAGGCCCTCTTATGTGCTTTCTCTTATTTCACTGTTCAGTTTAAAGGGAGGATTCAAATGGTAAGTGTTCAGCTTGTCCAAGAAATGAGTAAAGTTGATTTTCTTTGTTAGTTTTAAGATGCTATCTCTCCCTTCTTATCTTCCTGAGAGAAATATTCCAACACAACTGAGAGTTATGGGGCTTTTAAGTATAAAGTAAATATTGATTTACATATTTCACATTTAAAATTATAATTTCATGTAACAAAGAATGAGGGAAAACACTTGTCATTTCTGTTCATGTTTTTCTTTGTCATCCTTCAACTTGATCATAATTTTATGACACATAAAATTAAAGAGTTTCAAGCATATAAGCTAGTACTTCATCAATGTCATTTTCCTTAGAGGACAACCTTTTTGATAATTGCTGTTGTAACTATAAATTAAAGAATATTTTTCACTCATATAGGATAACATTCAACTGCCTTAAGAATGTATACATTTTTATAATATGTCTTAATTGCATTAAGGTTTATCTAAGTGGAAATTTTCTACTTAGCATGATTTTTGGACACATTAAAAGCTTTATTATTCTGGAAGCAACTAGCATTTTATGAGATTGTTTTATATTTGTCTTGTGATTGTTTTCATATTAGGTTACTCCACCAACTGTAGATTAAGTAGTTTAAATACTTAAGTGCTACAATGTACCAGTCTTTTTTTTTTGTGGGAAAAATTTGCATTGGAGTATATGATAGATTTTAGTTTTAGTATTTTGTTGATGCAGTTTCTTGAAGTAAACATTACTTATTGGGAAAATGTTAATGTCATAAAAATACCCAAACATCCATCCTATTTTATTTAGCTTTAGTTATTGTATCATGTAGTTATGAAATACTTGGGTTAGGAAAATTGGGGTGATGTTTAAATTGTATGCTACTTAATTTTAAAATCTGAGAAGTTTTGTTTTCTTGTATGGTACATATTAATGTTTGCTTTTTCTTTTCTTTTTTTAATTTTTTGAGATGGAGTCTTGCTCTGTCGCCAGGCTGGAGTGCAGTGATGCGATCTTGGCTCACTGCAACCTCTGCCTCCTGGGTTCAAGTGATTCTCCTGCCTCAGCCTCCTGAGTAGCTGGGACTACAGGTGTGTGCCAGCATGCCCAGCTAATTTTTGTATTTTTAGTAGAGATGGGGTTTCATCATATTGGCCAGGATGATCTTCATCTCTTGACCTCATGATTTGCCAGCCTCTGCCTCCCAAAGTGCTGGGATTATAGGCATGAGCCACTGTTTGCTTTTTCAATAAAGAAAATAATAGTTCTTCATACCCTTTTCAGATTTCCCTCCTTTAACTAAATACATACCTGACTTGGTATTAAAGCTTATTTTGGTCCCATTTGAGTAGTTGGGAATAGGCCTGAATACCTCAACACAGTTTATTCAACACACATAATAAACTTGAAAATAAAGGTATGTTATATGTTAAGGCAACAGTTTGAATCAGTTGTATTTCTTTACTTGTCAGAGGTGTTCCATTGTAGCATTCGAGGGACTGTGAGGCCAGAACGATTAAGGGAATGTTGGCAGAGGCTAACCGTTTAGTGCCTCTTCCAATGACAGTGTAATAATTTTTTTTTCTTTTAGAGATGGGGTCTGATATGTTGCCCAGCCTGGGCTCAAGCAGTTCTCCTCCTCATCCTCCTGAGTAGCTGGGACAACAAGCACATTCCACTGTGCTCAGCAGAACAGTGTTTTTTCAAATGTGCATAATAAACACTCAAGGAGCTTTTAAAAAATGTGGGTTCCTAGATCATACTACTGGGAATTGATTAGTTTTGTGATCCAGGTAGATTGTAATACATTGATCTTCGATAACATTTTTTGCTAAATCCGGTAGTTTTCGACCTTGCAGTATATTTGTGGAACTTAAGGAGAAATTCCTGAGATTCAATCCAACAAATATTTTGATCCAGTATGTCTAGGTTGGTACCAGGGGATCTACATTTAAAAAAAAAAACTCTATACCTCGCTTATTTCTTTTTGTCAGCAAAGATTCAAAACTACTGGCCATGTATTGAAATGAGAGTAGTTGAATTTTTCATGGGTCCTGTGAGTGTTAGTGCTGAAGGCATGCTTGATGTGATTAAACATGGTGTAAGATTCATATAGAACACAGTTTGTTTATTTATTGATGGTGTCTTGCTGTGTTGCCCAAGCTGGAGTACAGTGGCTGTTGTCAAGTGTGATCATAGCACACTACAACCTCAAACTCCTGGGCTTAAATGAATCTTCCTGCCTCAGCCTCCCAAGTAGCTGGGACAGTAGGCATGCACCCTCTTTTCTTTCTTTTGATTGGCTATGTTACCCAGGCTCGTCTTGACCTCCTGAAGCTATCCTCCCATTTCAGCCTCCCGAATAGTGGGACTGTGGTTGCCTACCACTACATGTGGTTATGTCTTTATCTTTAGAACACGGCTTAAACAAGACAACATTCTATGTGAATAGTACCCTGCAGAATTTGGATGTGGCAATCTTGATTTGGGCTTTCAGAGTATATGTGCAGGATGTGTTGTCTCGAGCTATGCATTAATTTTTCATGCATAGTTCTAATAATTTTAATTGTCTCATCCAGACCAGGGGTTGACAGACTAGAATAGACCAGGCTCAGTTCACATCCTTCCTATTTTTGTTAATAAAAGTTTACTATAATGCAGCACTTTTTTTGTTGGTTTGTTCTTTGCCCTGCAAAAACTGATCTGAGTAGTTGTGACATAAGTATATGGGACTATATTGAGACTATCTGGCCTGCCAAGTCTAAAAAATATTTACATCATGCCCTTTACCTGAAATGTTTGCTGACCTCTGATTTAGAGCCAATCTGAGAGTTGGAGGGAATCTATAAAAAGTGGCTCATGTTAACCAAATTCATAGCGCTTGTGAAGAATAATGCAAATCTATTAATTTATATATTCTTTTCCAGTGTTTTTAGAAGGCTCACTGAGCACAGCACCTCATATACCAGATCCAAGGTTCCTGAGGAATCCAAATTAGTGTCCAGAAGGTTGATTGGTAGTCATGGTTATAAATCAGAGCAAAAGTCATGGGAAGAACTGGTAAAGTGTCACTGCCCTGCAGCTGATACCTGGGATTTTAAAATCTTTTCAGTTCTAGTCAGTAGAGGTATAAAGCACTGTTCTTTCAAATGTTAACCCCTCTTGATCAGTGTTGTTGAATTTGGCCTGTTATTTAACCAGTCAGCCTCTTTTCCTGCCTCTTGCATGGGCATTTTATTGTTTTTGTTTGTTTATGAATCTCTTGATTTATTTGTAACCTAACTTTCCCTGATGTGCCATGTGTAAAACTCAAAAACAGAAACTCTAGCCAGTAAAAAAAAATTCCATTAATTGATGCTGTCAGAGAAGAATCATCCCATTGTTATTTACTAATGAATAGGTACAAATTTATTTTCTGAAATGGTTTTTGAAAATTCCAGAGCAAAAGTTAAGAGTTTTGTGGTTTCCACATGGCCATCCCCCTTTTTCTACAGCTTCAAAATCTCTAATAAATAATTTATGTTGCTTTTTAGAGGATTTTTTTTTAAGTTTAAACTCCTGAAGCATTCTAACAAAAGACACATTTTACAAGGGATTTTTATGGCCTATTTATTAACTTACAGAAATAACTAAAAAATTATTTGTTGAAGGATTTGGTGTCAGATTTAACCATGACCTGCTGGGCTGGTAGGTTTATTTCTGGTATAAAGATGGCCCAGTCCCAGTGGTTTGGACATGTTGGTGAAAACCAAAATGGATCACAGATATTGCAGTGGTCTCATGTGTAGCGTTCTAGTTGTGACTAGTTTTGGTTATTAATGTTTTTACTTATTAAAATAATTTATTATAAGCCAAGGATTTTTCTCAGTATTTGGCCTGGTACATAATTGTAACAGACTTTTGTGAGCAAATAAAAACAAAAAGTTATGTAAGTTTATAATGTTTACACATATTCTTGGAAGTGATTTGTAGGATTTCTCTGATTTGGGATATTTGGATTGAAGGTATGTGTCAGTTTTAACCAGGTGTTGAATTATTTCATCACTCCTCAACAGGGTTATTTAATAGTTTTAATAATATCTAATCATGTTTGGGAAACTGTAGCATTTTTTTAATCTAAACTGGGACAAATAGACATGGATACTCTTAAAATACTTATTATAACAGGCATAAAATGGGCTTTCTTAGGTGAACCAGGATATATGGTTGGCCTAATCATATGCTATGCTTATGAGTATTTGGTTTTCTTTTCTCTATTTTATCATTCCTATTTGTAAATCTTTTCTGAATGACTACTTGGAAATGATTACTGAATCTCTTACACTATATGCATAGTTTGTCAGAGGGCACTTAATTTTATTGATTAACTTTTTTTTGGTCTTACCTTCCATTAGAGTTTCAGAGAGGTTCATAATCTGGAAAAATTATCATGTCTTCCTTTTTCCTTTTGGAGACTATCTGTTCAGACTCAGCTCATGTGTTTCTTCTGATTCCTCATCCCAACTGTGATCGTTTTCATTAAAAAAAAATTAAAAAGAAAAAAAAATTTTTAAGATGGAGTCTCGCTCTGTTTCCTAGACTGGAGCGCAGTGGTGTGATCTCAACTCACTGCAACCTCTGCCTCCTGGGTTCAAGCAATTCTCATGCCTCAACCTCCCAAGTAGCTGAGATTACAGGTGCGTACCACCACACCCAACTAATTTTTGTATTTTTAGTAGAGATGAGATTTCACCATGTTGGCCAGGCTGGTCTTGAACTCCTGACCTCAAGTGATCCACCTGCCTTGGCCTCTCAAAGTTCTGGCATTTATAGGCATGAGCCACTGTGCATGGCCAGAATTTTTTTTCTTTTTTTTTGGGGACAGAGTTTTACTCTTGTCACTCAGGGTAGAGTACAATGGCATATTCTTGGCTCACTGCAACCACTGCCTCCCAGGTTCAAGTGATTCTCTTGCCTCAGCCTCCCAAATAGCTGGGATTACAGGTACTCGCCACCACGCCTAGCTAATTTTTGTATTTTTAGTAGAGACAGAGTTTTACCATGTTGGCCAGGCTGGTCTCAAACTGCTTTACTCAGGTGATCTACCTGCCTCGGCTTCCCAAAGTGCTGAGACAACAGGCATGAGCCACTGCGCCTAGCTGAAAATTTTTTTAAGACGGGCTCTCGCGTGTCACGCAGGCTGGAGTACAGTGGCATGATGATAGCTCCCTGTGACCTTGAACTCCTGGCCTCAAGTGATTCTCTTGCCTCAGCCTCCCACGTAGTTGGGACTACAGGTGTGTGACATCAGCCCCTCCTAAAGAAAAATATTCTTTTGTACAGATGGCATCTCTCTGTGTTCCCAAGGCTAGTCTCAAACTCTTGGGCTAAAAGCAGTCTTCTGTCTCTGCCTTCCAAAGCGCTGGGATTACAGGTGTGAGGCACTGTACCTGGTCCTTTTTATGTTTAATATGATTTATTCTTAATACTTACCAAGTTGTATTCTAATTTTTTTCCTGAACTTTGTTATCTACTCACTGTGTTCTCTGAATGAATTTTGAGGTAAAGAATTTTATGTTTGTCATGTTATAGTTACTTAGATGTAAGCTGAGAGAATTAACTAGCTGTTTGATGACATGTTTTTCAAATACCAGTGCATCTCAGTTATGGTTTTCAGTCTGTATAGATCATCAAACCTTGACATTTATTGAATATTCATGCCTCAGATATTAAACATTTGGTACATTGGAAAATAAACGTAGCATTGAGGTACAATTGCTGTTATTTTTTGTAGACTTCATATGTGATTACATAATGAAGAGTAATTTTTAAAAGCAGCCAAATAAACATTTTTTTGTGTGTGCTTGGTTTTCAATACACCTAACTTTTTACTTCAGAGTATTAGACTTACGGGAAGACTGGGAGGTTTCCATTTAGGAAGAAAAACTTGTTCACTGTTTCCTGTATTCAAAACATGGTACTGAGCACTGTAGAGGATATGGAGAATGTTGGACGATTTTAGGTTCTGAGTACTTAAGAGTGCTAATGTTAAAGGAAACAGCTCAAACATTCTTAAGAGTTTAGAAAATGAATTTCTCTACTGAGGATGTCCAGCTTGTCATTAAATAGTCTTGGCACTATTGTGGGGTACTTTTGTGTGTATACGTGTGTGTGTGTGTGTGTGTGTGTATGTGTGTGCGTGTGTGTGTGTGTTTGTGTGTGTTTTCATAAAATGATGTGATTTGTTTATTATTCCTGCTGTGTTGTAGGTATACCTCATGTCTTTTCATTTGAAATGGTAAGTTCTTCTAATAATTTTTGGTTCAGAATGGTAAGATTTTTTTAGCTAATGTTAACCTTTTTTTGAGCAATTGGAGAAGAGGAGAGTCCAGACCGGCAAATAGATGTGATTAACTAATATAAACATATCTTGTACATTGTCTAATATGCGATACAACTAATAATTTAAATCATTTAATAGTTTGAATTAATAACAAGATGCTAGGAAAGCATAAAAATTGAACTTGTTACTTCTGCTTTGCGACTTGTTTAATGTATTTGGAGCCACCTTACAAGTGCTTGTTCTACATAGTGACAATAAGGTATAATTTAGGCTAGTCAGTATCTAAGATCGTCTGTACTTCCTATTGAGGATAGTATCATTATAGTATCATCTAAAATGTTAGAACTTTGTACTAAAACTAAAAAGTGATAATGTCTATCTATATTCAGTATTAAGTAACTACTAATGAGAGGTAGGCTATAGGAACTTGGGTTTGTAAGCATCTTCTGATGAGATGCAGTTATTTGAGTTAGATTGATAATTATAATTACAAACTTTCAAAGGCGTTTACAAATTTCAAGTAACTGAAAGTTTATGGGTAAGTTTGCTTCTTTTCTTAATGATATCTTAGACTATATTGTGCACTATGTTTCAAACCCTGGCTTTTCTGGTTGTAAGTTTACCATAGTTTTCTTTTTTCTTTTTTTTTTTTTTTCCAGCACAAGGGACACAGAACCATAGTTTTCTTAAGTCTTCATTTGGTTTATTATTGTTTTTCCTACATTTGATTTTAACCAATTGATATTACTGTTACAGTAGTTTGTTTTATAATTGCAGATTTTAAATAACTTTGATTTTTATTTTGGTATCACTTAAATGTTTAAAAAATGACTATGTATTTGAATCTGTTGCTTTGAGCTAGCTACTTAGAAGAAAATATGTATTTATCACAATTTCAATGCCCCTGGTAAATTAAGATGATTTAGCTAATGCCTAGTATCACAAACAGAAATGGGTATTCTCCTCTATAAAATATGTACTTAACTCATAATGCATTGGCCTTCTATGCCTTGTTTTTGTCTTTTTTGCTTTTTTCTGTTGATGGGACCAATTTGGAATTGCTGCTTGTGCAGTTTATATTTGTTTGTTTAGTTTCATCTTTTATACCTTGACCTGGCCAGTTGTGATAGTTTTACTTTGGTAAGGAAATGCATTGGATAAGAAAGAGGTTATGGATCAAGAAATGCAGACCAGTCACCAGTATGTGAGCTTTGGTAAGATTTTATTGCTAGTATTGTTTGTCTTACAGTTGATATCCTTGCTCCTTTTTTTTAGTTCTGGGTAAAGTAACTAAATTTGAAGAATAAATACTATTAATCAGTTTTAGGTTTTAAAAGCACTTCTTTAGAGTGAGTTTACAATGACAGTTGAAAATGGTAATCTTAAAAATGCCCTCAGGTGCATTATAAATAAAATTCTTAGGAGCAGTGGTGTGTGCCTGTAGTCCCAGCTACTTGGGAGGCTGAGGTGGGAAGATCAGGTGAGCTCAGTAATTCAAGGCCAACTTCGGCAACATAGCAAGAGGTCCATCTCTTAAAAGAAAATCTCAGCTGAATAGAAGCTTCCTTAACAATTATTTTATGTAAAATACATATTTCCTTCTGTGATGTTTGCTAGATTGTGTGTACGTTTAATTGATCTTTGGTTAGAGAGCCACCCTATGTATTAAAAAACAGCCATTAATTTTGATGCACATTCAATTGAATTTGACAGTAATATCAGAGTAATTTATTTACTCAATTACCTGAACCAGGCTTTTAAAATACACCGTTGAATGTATTTGTTTTAAGAGGCAGATGTTAAGTAATGAACACAGTTAAGTTCCCCTACTTTTATTTGTCATTGCCTCTATTTCTAATTTAGTATTTAACAAGTAACACCTACTTTTGTTTCATGACTAAACCTTGCAGTATAAATTAAAATGTAATTAGCTGGGTGTACTTGCATGATTTTAGTGCCAGCTATGTGGGAGCCTGAGGCAGGAGGATCAGTTGAGCCCAGTGAGTATAAGTCTAACCTGGGCAACAGAGTGAGACTACATTTTTTTTTTTTTTTGAGACAGAGTAAGACTCTGTCTCCCAGGCTGGAATGTGGCGGCTCCATCTCGATAGAGGCACTGCAACCTCTGCCGCCATGGTTCAGGCAGTTCTCTTGCCTCAGCCTTCCGAGTAGCTGGGATTACAGACTCCTGCCACTGTGCGCAGTTAGTTTTTGTATTTTTATTTTTCACTGTCTTGGCCAGGCTGGTCTTGAACTCCTGACCTCGTGATCTACCCACCTCAGCCTTGCAAAGTGCTAAGATTACAGGTGTGAGCCACCGCGTCTGGCCTTTTTTGTTTGTTTGTTTTTAATGTAATTGATTATTCAAAAGGATTCATTTTCAAGTTTCAATATTTTAGTAGTCTTTTTCAAAGGAACTTTAGGTTCACAGCAAGATTGTGTGGAAGGTACAGAAATTTCCCATATATCCTGTGTCATATACATACAGCTTATCCCACGATCAAAATCTTTTACCAGAATGATAAAACCAGTTGCTGAAGCTATGTTGATACATTCCTATCAACCAAAGTCTATAATTCAACTTTAGATTTGCTCTGGGTGTGCGTTCTGAGGGTTCTGACAAATCTATGATGTGAACCTACCATTACAGTATCATACAGAGTATTTTCACCTCCTTAAAAATCTTCTGTGCTCTGCTTCTTTATCCCTTCCTCCTAACCCTTGGCAACCACTGAACCTTCTATTGTCTCCATCGTTTAGCCTTTTCCAAAATGTCATGTAGTTGGAATCATACAGTATGTAGTCTCTTCAAATTGGCTTCTAGTCACCTAACAATATGTTTTTAAGTTTCCTCTATGTCTTTTCATGGATTGATAGCTCATTTCTTTTTAGCACTGAATACTTTGTCTGGTTGTACCACAGTGCATCCATTCACCTACTAAAGAACATCTTGGTTGCTTCCAGGTTTTAGCAATTAGCTGCTATAAACGTTCATGTGTAGGTTTTTGCGTAGACATAGGTTTGCACCTCTTTTGGGTAAAAAGCAAAGAGTGATATTGCTGTATCAGATGGTAAGAGTATGTTTAATTTTATCAGAAATGACCAGACTGTCTTCCAAAATGGTTACACCCATTTGTATTCCCTTCAGCAATAAGTTAAAGTTCTTGTTGCATCACATCTTTGCCCGCATTTGTTGTCAGTGTTTCAGATTGTCACCATTCTAATAGGTTTTGTAGTGCTATCTCATTTTAATTTGCAGTTCCGTCAGTGTAATTTATAATTCTATCAATGACATACAGTGTAAAGTTTCATTTTAGTAATCATGTAACTGAGGAATATTTTCCCAAATATTCATGGGTGAAGATATTTAGGAATGCATATATTAAGGGGAGAAAACCCGCCTTTGGGTATGTATATGTACGTATAAATATATATATACATACGTACATACATAGAGTCTTATTTTTTAAAACTATTTACCCCCTCCCTAACTAGCAGCAAATAATGCAGTGTATTGGAAATTATTGTTTTTAATTGCCTGAATTTAAATGTTAAGTTTTCCAAGCATTCACTGTTGGTTAGGTTGGAAAGTTTACATGCTAATTGAGTTGTATCAAAAGTAATGTGTATTTTTTTCCTCTTCGGTTTAAAACTTTTTTTTGGAGCGAGGTCTGATTCTGTCACCCAGGCTGGATGGAGCACAGTGGCACAATCATAGGTCACCATAACCTTGAATTCCTGACCTCTTGCCTTGATCCGCCAAAGCCCTGAGATTACAGGCACTAGACACCATGCCTGACCCTTATTTACCTTTTTTTTTTAAAAAGCAGAGTCTCCCTCTCTTGCCCAGGCTGGAGTGCAGTGGCACGATCTCTGCTAACTGCAACCTCTGCCTCCTGAGATCAAGTGATATTCCTGCCTCAGCCTTCCGAGTAGCTAGGACTACCAGGCACCCACTACCACGCCCGACTAATTTTTTGTGTTTTTGATAGAGACGGCATTTCACCGTGTTGACCAGGCTGGTCTTGAAGTCCTGACCTCAGATGATCTGCCCATCTTGGCCTCACAAAATGCTGGGATTATTGAGCCATGGCGCCCAGCTTTATTCTACTGCCTCAGCCTCCCAAGTAGCTGGGATTACAGGCATGCGTTACCGCACCTGGCTAATTTTTGTATTTTTAGTAGAGACAGGGCTTCATCATGTTGGCCAGGATGGTCTTGAATTCTCGGTTGCAAATGATCTGCCTGCCTCAACCTCCCAAAGTGCTGGGATTACAGGCATGAGGTACTGTGCTTGGCTTTAATTTTTAGTAGAGATGGGGTTTCACCACGTTGGCCAGGCCAGTCTTGAACTCCTGACTTCAAGTGATCAGCCCGCCTGAGCCTCGCAAAGTGCTGGGATTACAGGTGTGAGCCACCATGTCTGACCCAGTTTACTTTTATTAGAGAAGATTAATTTGTTGATATACACCCTTCACTATCTTAATGTTTTTTTTCATGAGTTAATACTTTCTTAGTAAAGAGGCCTAATCTCTTGAGGTTTTTAAAAATGCCTATCAATATTTCATGTAATTGATTTTTGCTTTATTCTTTGTGTCTACAGTTTGTTAGCTAATATTTCTGGTTGCTAACAGTTTTTACTTAATATTTCTCATGAAAGTTTAACTGGTTATCACTACCTTATTGTTCTTTTATGTAAACTTCTTTAGTGAAAGAAAAGGTAATAGAATGCAGTTTGCTCACACCAAAATCTTTTCAATTGCTAAATATAATTTTTTTCTAGGGAACTTATTTTTAGGAATATTTATATATTCCTAATTGATTAAAAAGACTGAATCCTATTGCTTGTCAGAACTTACTATATTTTTCTCTAGAATTACGTATTTTTTAGTGGATTTAAATGTTCTATATTATTTTAGCATTTTCTTTTTTTGAGACATAGGACCTAAATAGCATGTGGTGATTCCTAGACAATTCTTAAAGCTTCCTTTGAGATAAGCATGAGAGGTCTTTATCCATAAAGAATTTTGATTGTGACCTAAAAAAGAATATTGTTTGTGGCCATTAAGATTACATTCACTCAAACAAGAGTTTATACTGATAAAGTGTTAGATGAATACCTCTTTTGATTGATCATTAAATGTTGTTCCAGTTGACACAGTTAAAGCAGGTTTTACTTAGTTCAGTGAGTGTATCCCCAGGTTTATGTGGTCATACTACACTTTAGCTTTATCTGAGTACTGTGTAAGTCATTCCTTTAAATTAGGTTATTGGTAACACACACACACACACACACACACACACACACACATACACACAGTACAGGTTGAATATCTCTTACCTAAAATACTTGGGGCTAGAAGTATATTGGAATTTTTGGAATGTTTGCATATAGGTAATGAGATACCTTGGGGATGGGACCCAGATCCAAATATGAAATTAACTTATGTTTCATATATGTCTTATATACATAGCCTGAGGTAACTTCATAGAATTAAAAAAAAATCTTTTTTTAAGAGGGTCTCACTGTGTTGCGCAGGCTTATCTCGAATTACTGGGCTCAGGCAGCTCTTGCATCTCAGCTTCCTAGAGTGCTGGGGTTATAGGCATGAACCACCATGCCTGGCTCAGTAGAATATTTTCAATAATAGTTTTGTGGGTGAAAGTTTTGCCTAAATTTTGACTTAGACCCACTATATGAGGTCAGATGTAGAATTTTCCACTTTGGGCATTGTGTTGGTGTTCAAAAAGTTTTCGGTTTTGGAGTATTTGGGGTTTTGAAATTTTGGATGGTTATGCTCACCTTGTATCTTGATAGCCTAAATAAATATTAAAGGAAAAATATCCATGTTCTGCACAAAAAGTGTCATGTGCCAGTAGTGGCATGTTTACCATGCTTTGGAAAATATTTGGTAGGTTAATTTACCCTACTTAGTGCAAGCTTTCTGTTTTTTATATTTTCATTAAAGAAATACTGACTGGACTTTAAAAATAGTACTTTCAAACATTTTTGCTTCCATATTTCTTTAATTTTCCACATCATTGAGGGCTACAAAGTGCTGCCAAAGGATTGTATCAGTATTTACCATAGTATAAACCAAAGTGAGTTTTAGAGAAAATGTTACAGAGTTAAGAGTTGCTTTCTTGTACATTTTTGCAAATTTCTTTAATATTCACCTTCAGTGTAGTGGGAAGAATGGTATTGTTTTATGTTTTGTAAATTTGTTTTTCTCTGTAAAAAATGGTTGACTTCCCACATTTGCTTTTGCAATCCATCTATTGCAGAAAGCTTTTTGATTAAAATGCATCAAAGAAGACCTGACTTTATACGAAAAAGTGATAAGGGAGGAGTATGTTAATAACCTTTAAAGATAATTGTGGATATTTTTTGATACTACTGTAAAACTTAAAAGTACTCTTACATCGAAATTAATTGGGCTGGCTGGGCATGGTGGCTTACACCTATAATGCCAACACTTGGGGAGGCTGAGGAAGATGGATCACTTGAGCTCAGGAGTTCAAGATCAGTCTGGGCAACATGGTGAAACCCCCTTTCTACAAAAAAAACACAAAAATTATCTGGGGGTGATGGTATGTGCCTTTAGTCCCAGCTACTCTGGAGGCTGAAGCAGGAGGATTGCTTGAATCCAGGAGGCAGAGGCTGAGGAAGCTGAGATCACTCCATTGCACTCCAGCCTGGGTAACAGAGTGAAACTTGTCTCAAAAAAAGAAAAATCCACTGGGCCGCTTTGAATTTTGGATAGATCTTTTACCCATGCATGATTTTGTAGTGTCATGTACCAATCAGAAACTGATGCATTGACCTAAGCAGATTATCCAAATGTTAATGTTTTTATCTTACAAAATTAAAAGGTTACATTTCTTCATATTGATCTCATAGAAAATGCCTGCCAAATACTCAAGCCAATAGTTATAGTGTCTCATGTAAAAATCTTGTTCCATGAAAAAAGTAGTTCATTCAGCATGCACCCCAATCATGAATGCTTTTTCTTAAAATAACCATCCTACTTCAGAGTGCAGCAGCAGTGGTTTATGGACAAATCCTGTTTTATTGTGAAGGACATGAAAAAAGAATGTACCCATGGATAGAGATTTAATAAAATTAACTTTTACTGCTTCATCCAGGTATTCATAGTTTTAAACCACAGTTTGATGCATGTGACAAATGCAGTGGCTACTAGTAAAAATTGGGCACATGTCCCTTGGATTGTGCTAAAGCACTGGGACTTCCCAGCCATTACTTTTGCACCACTGAGTGTGGTAAATGTTGATACAGAGAAAAGCCTGTTGATAGTATTATAACTAATTATATCTTAGTGCCAGGAAAATATAAAATAGTATGATTGTGTACTTGCTGAGTGTTGGAGACTCTTAGTACTCCATGACCTACACATTAAGAACTGCGGTAATGCCGGAAGGCTGTTTTGACATGTGGTTCTGGGAATTAGTTGCTTCCTGTTTTGGTCATCTGTTAATTTAAGTACATTTGAATTACAAGCTTTTCAGGAATACATATGTATAATTCTTTTCATGGAAAGGCATACAGTCTTATGAATACTGCAAAGATAAGTTAAAAATCTCTCCTTTTGTTAGGCTTTGACTGTTGGAATTCTTTTTTTTTTTTTTTTGACCATATGGGACATGGAGATACGTTGAAATTTTTGAAGAATGAAAGTATCTTGTGAATGTTAAACGTTTTATGAACTCTATTTTAGCAGAATCATATAGGCTAGCTCAGCCACTTACTCTACATATGACCTTGACTAAGTTATTCAACAGCTTTGTGCCTCAGTTTCATTATCTCTAAAATGAGGTAACAGTAGAACCTACTTCACAGAGCTGAATCCATAACATAAAACTGAGTTTTCATCATAGCTTTATTTTAGCGCACTGCAGTCTTTTGAGAATGTTGGTAACAAAGTTGTTTTGGCTTAAACCAAACTCTTAATTTTTTTTGTAAAGTAATAAAGCATTATTTAAATTTGTAAAAATAACACATATAATGCACTGGTTCTAACTTAAACTCCAATTTGAAATATTATTAAAAGTCATTCATGGGGGAAATAAGGGTCTTGTGTCTTGCTCGTGGGGTGGGCACACAGTTGTGAATTTCTTCAAGTGGTTCTTACTAATATTTGATAGATTTAGTGATAGTGAAAAATACTGTATTAATTTCATTTTACAAAGTCATCTTAATATAATCTCTACCTCTTTTGCATTTTACTGGAAGTTTGTAGTGGTGGGTTTCTAGAAAGTAACGGCCTGAAGATATGACTAGGAAGCTGAAAACTTCTTTTGTTCCTTCTAAAATAGTTACAAAATAATGTCATCAAATTATACTGTCTTAAGAGCAAAGCTGTATAAAATAGTATTTAGTAATCATCTTTAAGATGCTGTCAACATTACTAAATACAAGTATATATATGTATTTAGTGAAAAACGCTGTAATATACCTCATGAATTGGTATTTTAATACAGTAATATGCTATAGTAGCATGAAGTATTCTAAGATACTCTGATTATCTCATTTAAAGAAAGGTATTTTAGAACTTGTACCAATTTATAAACCACCACCAGAAAGGGAATGTTCGTATATAATAGTTGACTTAAAACCATAGATATTTTCAGTACATTGATACCTTTCCCATGGCATCTCTTAATGACAGTGGATTTAATAATAAAAGAAGATACTTTGTGAATAATAAAGCTCATACTATTCTAGAAAGTTATTCTAGAGAGTGATACACAGAGCTGAAAATACAAAGAGATGATAAAAAAGATTGTTTATGCCCCCTTTCCCTGCTGGTGAATCATAAGCCAATAGTTAAGGTATTAGGGTATATAGATATTGAAATCTCAAGCAGCGAGACTGTAAATAATTATCCTGTATTAGTGGTTAGATATTGAACTCCTATCCTTTCATTGTGAAGACAAATTTAAAAGTAAAAGTATAAATTGAACTCATGCTCCCCAAAAGTCATGATTATAAAATTCCTGTATTTTACTCAGTGATGCTGGTGTGTAACCAGCTTCTTAACAAAATATTTACTATATTTACTTGTTACAGATACTTACCTAGATGCTATAGATATCATTTTTATAGCTAAAAGATTTTGGGTGTGTTGAAGCATTCCTCACTTTGATCAGTAGGTTCTAAGAACTTAATCAGTAGTTTCTAAATAGTGATAAACAAATGGCAATTTGATTTATTCAAAGTAGTGATAACATAAGCTTTATTTTAAAATAATTTTTTAAATATAATACTTGATCAGTATTATATTTTATCTTACAGTCTAGCCTTTTTTTTTTTTGGGGGGGGGAGATAGAGTTTCATTCTTGTCGCCCAGGCTCACTGCAACCTCTTCCTCCTGGGTTCAAGCAGTTCTCCTGCCTCAACCTCCTGAGTAGCTAGGATTACAGGCATGCAGCACTATTGTCTGGCTAATATTTTTTTGTATTATTAGTAGAGACGGGAGTTTACCATGTTGGCCAGAGTGGTCTTGAACTCCTGACCTCAGGTGATCTACCCATCTCCCAAAGTACTAGGATTACAGGCATGAGCCACCAAGTCTGGCCTCAGTTTAGCGTTTTTTGCAGGTCAGTAATAATATCCGTTAATGGCCAAAATTTTTATGATGAGAAATTTATTTTTAGGAAAGTGAAAACATGGCTTTTAGGCTGGGCCTGATGGTTCACTCTTGTAATCTCAGCACTTGGTAAGGCTGAGGCAGGAGGATTGCTTGAGCCCAGTAGTTAGAGATCAGCCGGGTCAACATAGAGAGACCTCATCTCTACAAAAAATAATGAAACAATTCACTAGGCATGATGATGCATGCTTGTTGTCCTACCTATTTGGGAAGTTGAGGCAGGAGGATCACTTGAGCCCAGGAGTTCAAGGCTGCAGTGAGCTATGATGATGCCACGGCACTGCAGCCAGGGTTACAGAGCGAGGATCTCTTAAGAACATTTGTCTTAAAAGAAGCTTGTAGAAAGATTGGTATTTAAATGTTCTGATGTAAGAGAAAGCATTTTATCTCTCATGATGGTGTCTTTGAGTATAATAGCTTTATTCATTGTACCCTTCATGAAGATTTTTTTGGGCATCTCTTTTTTTTTTTTTTTGATTTTAAATAACTGCAGTGCAAGAATGGACTGTGGTAGCCAGGGCATCTCTATTTTTTAAGTTAGACAGGCATTTTTTTTTAAGGAGTTGTTTGTGACTTAATGGCAATTACGTTTCCATTGTAGGCTTTTATTTTCTTTATTTCCAGCTTTGTCGGTGCTTTTCAACAGTATTTTGTATTATAAAATGGAACTTTACATGAACATTTAGATTTTAATAAGATAGGCTTTTCAAAGTACAGTTATTATACATTGTTTAAACATTGCTGCTTTTGTCTCATAATGGAATGTTTTTCATGATTGCTACATTTAACACAGTTTTCTGTTACTGGAAATGGTCATCAAGTCAAAGTGAAAATTGCAATTTTCGTATGTTATCTTGAGTAACTTAGAGATTTCATGGAAGTTAATTCTATGTAACTATTGTTGGTAAATGAAGAGTTTTTAGGAAGCAGTTGCTGTAATGAAATTTCAAATGTTTTGAATATTTCTGTTCTATAGTTACTTTCATTCAGGTTTTCAAGTAAAATTACTGCTCAGTTAAAGCAATGCTGTGTCAAGCTTTCAATAATTGCTTGTGTGGGCTATCTGTAGTCCCTTAATGGAATAATGCTTGAGTAAATGAATAAAAATATACAAATGAATTGTAACATTTAGACAATGAGTATTGTCTATAACTTTATTTTTAGCAGAATTCCCTAAAGCTATTTGTGGTTATATGTTTGAATACATTTCAACAGGAACTTGGTAATGGTCATTTCTATTTTAAGACTTCAGTGACCTGGGAGGAGAAAATAATTGGCCCTGGTGGTTATTATTACTAGATTTTCCTTTGCTTGGAATCTAGGCATGTGTCTTTCATCTACTGGAATAAACACATTGAAAATAATCCGTGGTAGAGTTTATATAATCTGATTCATTGGTAATCTAATCTTGCAGTGTAAACTGGGTGCTCTAAGCACTTGTAGTATATTAAGCCTGGGAGACTGAAGTTTCTTTTCAGTGTTCTTAAGTATGTGATGATGGAAATTTTTCAAAATTTTTAACAGAAAATGATGTCCCAATTCACTCTTTTTTTTTTTTTTTTCAATTTTAGATGGGAAATGTAAAGTCATAAAGATCAATAGGTTGACTGTGACAACTATGTTTACTTACAGAGAGAACAGGAAATGAGAATGGGTGATATGGGTCCCCGTGGAGCAATAAACATGGGAGGTAGGGATTTGAAGCAAAAGGCTTTTGTAACTATCATTTTTGGGGGGACTGTATATGCTGTTTGTGGTATCTACTTATCAGTAAGAAACTAAAATTACAAAACCAACATTTCTAAAGGTGAAATCTCTTACATCCATTAAACTGGAATACAATACAATTATATTAAAAATAAATGCCTGAGAAGAAAATTCTCATTTCGTTTTTGTTTTGAGGCTAAAAGATGCGTTACACATTCACAAACTTAATGAAAGAAACATATAAACCAGGTGGAATACAGCTTGAAACTAGTTTAGTCATTGTATGGTATAATACAGCTCTGTCTTTGTAGTTTTAAAATCAAATTTTATGCTTTCTAATGGGCTTTGGTTTTATTTTTGAGGCAGGACCTCACTTTATTGCCCGGTTTGGAGTACAGTGGTGCAGTCTGCTCACTGAACCTCGACTACCGGGCTCAAGTGATCCTCCCACCTCACCAAGTAGCTGGGACTACAGGTGTGCACCACCACTCCTGGCTTATTTTTTGTATTTTTAGTAGAAATGGGATTTTACCATGTTGCCCAGGTTGCTGTCAAACTCCTGTACTCAAGCAGTTTGCCTGCCTTAGCTCCCCAAAATGGTGATATTACAGGGGTGAGCCACCTCATCTATCCTAATTGGCTTTTTTACCTTCAGAAATTGATAGCTTTTGAGTTGTGTTTTTAAGCTCTTAGAGAGTATTTTATGCATTTCTATCTTAAACTAGCTTTTTGTGTAACTTTAAAGCTGTTTTCCTTCACTTTAATGAATATTGAACTTTTTTTCCTTTAACCTACAGTATTGTGCACAGAAGTGCACTCGCTGTTCAGAGACTATGACTTGTCTGGTATATGCAGGAAATAAGAAACGTGACGCATTACATGTGTGTCACCAATGCATGGTTTAGAGTTGACAGAGTTTTTAATTAAAGTACCTATATTAGCAACTTTAGTATGGATTTGCTCGTGTAGCCAGTTGTAAGGGAAATAATGCCAAGTAAATAGCCTGAAGGAAAAACAAATGTGGCATATTGTAGGCCTTACTAAATTTGAAATCTGAAATGTCACACATTCAAAAGTTGGGTAAGGAATTAAATTTTGTTAAATTATTTGCCCCATCAAAGCTGTCCCACATTATATTGTTCCACAAAAACTGTCATGAAGCAAAAATCTTTATTTAACTTAAGTGTACATATTGTTCTGCAGATTGCACTACCATGGCAAACAATGTACTTAATATGCACACCCATTTACAAAATCAAGTATGTTTTTAGCATATATGGTCTATCAAATGAAACTTAAAACATGTCATGTATGGAATGAACATTTTCCACCATCAGCTTTTTTTCTTAAACTTCTCTTGCCAGTTTTTCAGTAAAACTAGTCAGATAATATATAGAGTCATATATTGCTCTTTACTTTGTCACTTTTTACCAGCAAGTAGTTAGTTAGTGAATATCTCTGGTATATGCAGGAAATAAGAAACATGGCCCTTGCCCATTAAGAACTTAATTGTGAAGTTACAACAGTGGATACATGAAATAATGAACCAAGAGTGTCTAAATGAAGATGCATAATTGAGTATAATAATGTCCAAGTGGTCTAATATTTATGTCTGTTTTTTAGAATAAATTCTGGGATGATATTTAACATAATCTATGTAATTTTGAGGATTTTAAGAATAAGGTTATTATAGATTAGAGGCAGTTTAAAAGGCCCTTGTCATTATTAGAGTGTCATTAACATCACAGCTAAACTAAAATAGTATAAAACTTAAAACCATTTCTGATGGTGCAGAGATACCCTGTAATTTTATTAGAAGAAATATAAAAATATGTTTTTAGAGTCCTTAGTTAGGAATTGAAAAGAGTTTAAATTTTTTGTGACATTTTATTCACCAGAGAACCTATTTACATTTTAGCATTTACTCAGTCTAGTTCATCTAATTTTCTCTTCAGTCTTCGATGTGAGACTTCATCATAATGGTTTTGTAGAGTTATTAATCATTATAATTCAGTTGAATTGTTGAGAAGGTAAAACCGTCATAATCTCATCAACTTACATTGATGGAAAGTGGCTGCAGATTTTCTGGTGTATCACTAGTGCGTAAAAAAGTGAAATGTACATTATAATGCTACCTTTCAAGTAACCAGATAATGCTAACATTTCTTAGATCTTAAAATTTATTTATAGCTATGTGGTAGAAGATGCGAGTACTAAAAGTAAGGCTCTTAGTTAACTACTGTTAATTGGGAATATTATTTTTGATTTTTTTATACCCATAGTTGTATAGTTATTTTCCAAAGCCACCATTGTAAAATTACATTCTATTAAAGAGAAAGAGAGGAAAAAGAAACTTAATTTGTTTCCTGGGAGATAGTTGAGGTAAGATGCCTCTTAGATACTGTTCTTATACTCTCTTCATTTATAGATTGTGGAAATTATTAAAAATAGCTATTTAGGCTGAGCATGGTGGCTCGTGCCTTTAATCCCAGCACTTTGGAAGGCCAAGGTGGGCAGATCACGAGGTCAGGAGAATGAGACCATCCTGCCTAACACAATGAAACTCCATCTCTACTAAAACTAAAAAAATTAGCCAGGCATGGTGGCTCGCGCCTATAATCCCAGCTACTCAGGAAGCTGAGGCAGGACAATCACTTGAACCCGGGAGACGGAGGTTGCAGTGAGCTGAGGTTGCGCCACTGCACTCCAGCCTGGTGACAGAGCAAGACTCCCTTCTCCAAAAAAAAAAAAAAAAAGTGGTGGGGAAAGAAAGAGCTATTTAGGGCTATCCTGAAGTAGTGGAAATATTGAATAAAGTATATTTATTGGCAAGAACATTATGGGCTGAAGGAAATAATTCCTTCCTATGAAGTTGCCAGGTTCCTGGGGATTGGATTCAAAGAACAGAAGTATGATGCCAGGGGCTGGTAGGGAATCAGACTGCTACTCAGCTGCTCCTTGGACTCAGCCATACAGAGATTTCACCTGCATTAGATAGTGTGCAGAGTTGTGGGTTTGAATGAAACTCTTTTTTATAATGTATATTTGAGAAGCTGAGTTCTTACTGTCAGAAAATTGACCTATATAATGAAATACTAGAAGAAAACCCTAAATTAGAATGGCTTTGTTATGAATTTTTGTTTGTTTGTTTTTTGTTTTTTGAGATGGAGTCTCACTCCTGTTGCCCAGGCTGGAGTGCAATGGTGCAATCTTGGCTCACTGTAACCTCTGCTTCCTGGGTTCAAGCGATTCTCCTGTCTCAGCCTCTCTAGTAGTTGGGATTACAGGCATGTGCCACCACGCCTGGCTAGTTTTATATTTTTAGTAGAGATGGGATTTTTCCAAGTTTGTCAGGCTGGTCTCGAACTCCTGACCTCGGGTGATCCGCCTGCTTCGGCCTCCCAAAGTATTGGGATTATAGGCGTGAGCCACCATGCCTGGCCTGTTGTGAATTTTTAATGTTAAAGAAGTACTAACACTTAAAGGAAAAAAATTTTCAAAGAAAATACCTAAAGAAAAAGCACAAACACTATTAAAATTAATATGCAGTAGGTGGATTTTTTAATGAAAAAACTTGAAATATATCAGATTGTTCCCTTTTATGGAATTTAAACTTGTCAGAAAGATCCAGATGCTATATTAATATTTTATCTGTATTTGGTTGCTGTTGCTTTTAAAAATAAGTTTATTTCAGTATTTTTGTCTAGATTCCATATTTCAATATAAGAAGTTAAAAGAAAAGTTTCTCCTGTAATTTAGAGCAAAGTATTCCATACACTCAGGGAGGAAAAAAAAAGAAACTAAGATGAGAGGCTAGTTATAATGACTTTTATTTATATATTTCAGGAAATGATTTTCTCTCTGGCAACTTAGCATAATTTACATGCTAATATTTTTAGCCATGGCTTAAAAAAAATAAAGTGTTTTTGTAAGTGCTAATCCTCCATTTTTAGGGATTTTTTGGTTTAAAAGCAGACTAACAAATAATAGTTATGTCTCAAACTTGCAAACTGTTACAGTCTCAAATGCCCTTAAATAATTGATAGTTTCCTCATTGATTTTTAGTACGTTTGGCTTGGAGATGAAAATTCTAATTCTAGAGTGTAAGTAGTATTACACAGTAGATAATGCAGATCCCATTTTCAAGCAGAGAAAATAATTTTGATAATGGTCTTGATATATAGATTGCATAAATATTGTTAAATTTGTAATGTTTACTAAATTAAGATAGGACAGCTCTAAGTATAGATTGTTTTACATAGATGCGTTTAGCCCAGCACCTGCTGGTAACCAAGGTCCTCCTCCAATGATGGGTATGAATATGAACAACAGAGCAACTATACCTGGCCCACCAATGGGTCCTGGTCCTGCCATGGGACCAGAAGGAGCCGCAAATATGGGAACTCCAATGATGCCAGATAATGGAGCAGTGGTAATGTATCATAAACATTATTTTGATTATATTCAGTAATGTACACTTCTGCCCCAAGGATAACTTCACACTTAATATAATTTGGTATCATTTGTTCTGGCAGCCAATGAAGAAAATTTTGTGACATCTTACATTGATTTATTAGAGTTTTTAAGTAGTTCAAGAATTAGGATTACTGTCCATGGCATGCTTTGGTACCTCAGTATATAGCATATACTTATATTAATTACAGTTATTTTTCTGTGCTTTTAATTTGTATCCATCGTTTATCAGCATTCTAATGTTAAAGTATTTTATGATGGTGTTCTTTTCCTGTGTGGACTC